CCTCTCTCTCTCTCTCTCTCTCTCTCTCAACCTCTCTCCCTCTGTCTCTCTCTGTCTCACCCTCTCCCTCTCTTTCTCCCTCTCCTCTCCTCGTACTCTCATTGTCGTCATCCACGCCCGCCACGTATGGCAGTGTCCTCATCTCCCTACTCCATCTCCCTCTCTCCTCTCTGTATCACTGGCAACGTTCTAACACCGCGTCTACAGCGTCGATCATCGGCGAAAACCGCAAGTACAGCATCCGTCGGCCTCACGCGCACCACAAGAACCAGGAACGGTGCAGAAGAGCGAATGGCCAACCAGCCCAGGTCAACGCTTAAATAGTGCTGCACTGGACTGGTCGGGCGAGCATCTGGTCAACGCACGTGAGACTGGGGACGAAAGGGTCAGACATTGGTGGTGGATCCATCTCCTTCCTCTGTGGAATCGTCGGAGGAAGAGTTGTCATCATCTGTGCCATCGTCAGCGTCAGCGCAGTCAGTATCCACCGCTGCTTCCAGGTCGCTCACATCGTAGTCAGTAACGAACTCCTCTGGATCGCTAGAGTCTGATGCCTCTTCTTGCTCTTCTATCCATTCATCTCCACTACGATAATCTGCATCGCTATCAATATCACCGGCATCAATGATGTTCCGCATCCTCTCAGCTCTGCTTGTCGCTCGCTGACGTTTTTCTTCAGCCTCGTCAATCTTTTCCTCCACACGCAACCATCGGACGTCTCTGTCGTCGTACCCACGGGAGCGAAGCTCAACCAGCTTCTCGTTGAGTTCGGCTATCCGCCAACGTAAAGATTCCTCCTCCTCAATAGACTTAGCAAGCAAAGAGTGAGGATCCTTGGCAGCACCGCGATTCTTCGGAGACATTTTAGCGTGAGGGTAGAGTAGCAAGTGGCAGAAGAAGCAGGTCGTAGAAGTGGTGAGACGTGGTGATGGAGACCGAAGCTGAGCACAGAAATGGAGGGATCATCCTGCACCGAACAACTCGAAAACCACCTGCAGAAGCGCACGTATGCCGGAGGGCTCAGCGGGCAGCTATGGCCGAACTTCTCCTCTCTCTCTCTCTCTCTCTCTCTCTCTCTCTCTCTCTCTCTCTCTATCTATCTATCTATCTATCTATCTATCGTTTGTGTATGACTGGCGCCGTTCCAACAGCGCAGGTACTTGGCCAACACTGCGACTACTGCGTCCCTCGACCAACACCGCGACTACAGCCTCCCTCGTCCGCCAACACTGCGACTACAGCGTCCCTCCTCGGCCAACACTGCGACTACAGCGTCCCTCCTCGGCCTCATGTGCGGCGCGGAAATGCACGAAGGGTGCACGACAGCCAATGAGCAACCAGTCCAGGTCAACACTTAAATAGTGCTGCACTGGGCCACCATCTGGTCACAATGTACCCAGGACCGCATGCCCACTTCCTGTCGGACCGAAATGTGAGCAGCAGTACGTCGGGCCAGGAGGTTGGACTTCTGCTGTGACTTGACCAATGGGACTGAGACTTAACTGGGCCTTTGACCTTTGACTATGAGATTCGAGGAAGTGACCGTCAATCAGCCTCGATTTTGACTGTTCGCTTAGTACCTCGATGTGACTTTTACAGAACGACTTTCCATTTTAGTCCGGACACGACATTTGCCCAGGGAAGCTGTCTTTCGGAATGCCGATTCACAACTTCAAGCTCTGGTCTAAAAGCTCTTGTACCTCCCTCGATCTGGCAGAAGCGTTCCGATAACATGGAACGGGTGGACTCGGGCATTCGAAGAGCCAAGGGGGTCCACAAAACCGACAACGACAAACACCCTTGGGACCCCGAAAGTAAGACACGCAGCCCAGCAAGAAAAACGAAGGACAAAGCGACTCCCCTGATTCACTTGGCACAGCCCACAACTCAGAAGAGGGAAAAATAAAAATAAAAAATTGAAATGGCCGAAGGAAAAGACCCGCGAGAAATTGACTCGGATACAGGAAAACCCATGCCCTGGATTCACCTAAACAAAAAAAAAAAAAAAGTCGAGCATTCCGATTCGACTAAACGAAACGGGTGCGGGACTTAAAATCGGCGGACCGCCCCATCCCCACCCGTGACCAACCAGAAGAAACCCCAGGCAGCAGCGGACCGCGAAAGCAGACCGGTTAACGGAACCACAGAAAACCCACGCAGCAGTGGATAAACGAAGCAGGAAAACGTCACTTCAAACAACTCACTCGAGAGGTTTTAGCCCGAGCACGATTTTACACACATCTCTCCCCGGTCTCTTAGGCCGGACGACCAACCCGAGAGAGCCAGCAGATGGTCTTAAACGAAATCAATGGTCGGGAAAGCTAACAGTCAATCCTCCCACAGCAGTAGTCAACGCTCATCACGCATCCGTCCACCTCACGGAAGGAAGTGTCCGGATGCCCTGCGACGGATGCAACCTTGACTTTTCGGGGCAACAGGCGGCGCAACCAAGTCCCCCAGGCGCAAAAAAAAAAAAAAGGAAAAAAAAAGGAAAAAAAAAAAAAAGAGGAGGGTTTAGGGTTCAGGGTTTAAACAGAAGGGAGATCCGCAGCCCCCGTCCACCGGCCTGAGCTAAAGCGAGATTTCAGATACGAGGGTTTAGGGTTCAGGGTTTAAACAGAACGGAGATCACCACGCCCCGTCCACCGGCCCGAGATAGACCGAGATTTCAGATACGAGGGTTCAGGGTTTAAACAGAAGCGGATGTCACTTTTGCAAAATGCACAACGACCGCACTACAAAAAGGCGGCCACAAGGCCCAGGGGCAGTGAAGCAGACGCGGGCAGTAGCGAGCAACGGGAAGCTCGCTGGGCGGTCTCCCAAGAATTGGCATCAAAAAGTAGCGGGCAAGGACCGAAGATACGATCGGCAGGTCCAACGAAGGTCCAACGAAAAGAGGGCATGTCCGAGTTGTGCCGTTCGTAGTACGAGGATGAAGTCAGAGGCCGGTATTCTCGAGCTCCTAAGGAGGACCCCGGGGGGCAGGCGAGGCGTCTTAAGGAGAAGACTGGCTACCCATSAGTTCGGTCGTACGGGGTGGAGTTSACCAAGCCCGAAGGTGGGTACCCAGGACAGCGCGGACGGCTCAGTAACCGGCCCCACCCATCATGCTGTGCTGCAGGCACGTGAAGTCGACTGCGGCAKCAACATAATCATGGAACCTGTGAGCGTTGTCGTGTCCTTGCCGTATGCAGTCGACCAGGAGTGGTCCTTCCAAGGTACTCCAGGTGGCGACATCGTTCTTCTTCAACTGCAGGACAGCAGTAATTTYGTGCATCCTGTGCATAGTTTCTGCAGTCGAGAGGATGGAGAGGGATTTAGAAGGGCCTATGGAAGTCAGCCTACCGAAGCGTGAGGGAGCTATTTTCGTACATACAGACAGGTCCAGCCAGAACGGCATCCGCCCGCGAACATCATCAGGAAGCAGCCCCAATGAAGAATCGCACATCTTTCTCTGTCTGAGCGTAATGTTTCACAATGTTTGTTGCTATCTTACATTTCTTTCACTGTTTTTTTTTTTTTTTTTTTTTTTTTTTTCCCGCAGCAGTAGTCAATGCTGGTCACGGGTCGCTCAACCTCACAGAAGGAAGTGTCCGGATGCACTGCCAGGGATGCAACGTCCATATTTGGGGGCAACAGGCAGCGCAAGCACGTCCCCCAGGCACGGCGGGGGAAAAAAAAAAAAAAAAAAAAAAA